AAATTGTACTTGTTCTATGAATAATCCTCCCTAAGAACCCACCGTAAGCTGTGGACCCTTGAGGGCAAATGGGATGTTCTCTTGACCAGGGAGACGGAATTAGCAAGTGAATTCCCTGAGCCAGTCACTGCCACTGCCATAAAAGCTACAGCACTGGGTGGAAGAGGGGGAAGGGTAACAACTGATGACTTTGGGCCAGAATCAAGAGGTGACCAAAACCCACACATTTTGGGTTCACGTTACAAGAGTTACAGTGCCACATCTAAACCATAGGCAGGACATCAAGGAGAAAAATATCTGACCCAGTTAGTCCCTCAACAGAAATGCAGAACAGCTAATGATTTGGTCTCCTTTATTATCAAGGGAATATGAAATCAATCTTAACAAAAACTTTTTTCACTTAAACTTATATGAGCACTTATTGAATATCTATCGTATTTATAGACTATGTTTGGTGATTTAGAGTTGGCGAGGGTGGAGACAAAGCCTAAAAGATAATTCTACCTTCAGTTTATAATTGCACTAGAGAAGAATAAGAAAATATAAGGTGAAATAAGGAAGCAATACAAGATAACACATAAATAAGTATAGAGAACTATCTACAGTCATGTGTCACATAAGAACGTTTTGATCTATGATGGATGACATTTATAATGGTGGTCCCATAACATTATAATGGAGTGGAGGTGTGTAGTAGGCTATACCATCTAGGTTTGTGATGTTCAATAACGATGAAATTATCTAACGATGCATTTTTCAGAACTCACCCCAATCATTAAGTGACACATGACTGTATTGGGCATCTTCAAGGTGAGGAAGTTCCCTCTTTTGACTTTGGCCTTCACATTAATTGATTAGCTTAATGCAATCTAACTCCATTTCAGAAATGTTTGCATCACTTTTTGGTCTCATTTTCCTGGTGGGGTAGTGGTAGCTGGGGTCTTTATGGTGTATCTAGCTTTATTAAGCAAAGCAAAGGTGGGGTCTGGTGAGGGCCCTGTGGGAAATGGAACACAGACCACCTTACTGGATGCTGCAGAGTACAGAGGGAGCACTTGCTGGATTTCCCCATTATGCTGGGGATGACACCTGTGAGGGCACGAGCAATTGAAAGCTAACACCATTCCCTGTGTGCTGAGAGCAAATGTGAGAAAGAGAACTGAAGACACAAAGGCACAGGAGATGTCAAGTGCTCAGTGGTGGGCACGTGGCCAGCAATACCGAGGTTTCTCAGGCAAGTGTGGGGGTGGGAGGGAGGCTCAAGACCCTTCTGATCCTTTTTTTCATCTCCAAGAGAAAAGAACCCAAAACTAAAGTCTGATTTCCTAAAGGATTAAAAGATTAAGTGAAGGAGAATCGGGAATGACAGCTCTGGTTTTTAAAGAAGTTACCATAATGTCAGAAGCACAGCATATCAGGGGCTAAAGATAGGAACCGCCACAGATAAAGAAATAAAACAGGCTAAAGGCAGAAATATGATTTTAAGTGTAACTTTTTATATATAATTCAGGTAAATAAAGCCACATTTAAATAATGCAAAATCTTTACAAATCACCTTGCCTAAATTGAAACCAACATTAACTATCATAGGATACTTAAACGTAAGCTTAAAACATACTGTGTTTTCATTCACATCCCTAATAAGTAATTCAAAGGATATTTTTAATCCATAATAAAACTATCAATCAAGAACATAAAATACAATCTTCCAATGGTAATTCTAAAGGGGGCAGGACAAAAGTTACATTTCGCAATTTCACCTTAGTAATTCAATAGTCAAAGATAAAAAAATAGGGATGGAAATTAAACAAATTTGGATTATCCACTGTTAGGCATACTAGGGAACAATAGGTCATTTAATCATCTGAGGAACTCACTTGATACTCTTGGGATCCTACTTAGTAACTTCATCCTGGGTGGTGAGCATATTCTAGGAAATAGGCATTGCTTTGCCAGGACCCAGGAAAACAGTGCCCTACTATATCTGAAAGTGGTTATCACTTCCGGTCCTGGGTATCACCCTGTGGAGCAGACACTGCCTCTCCCTCAGGCCCTCCTCCTGCAGTGCATGCTGGACACCCCCACCCCCATTCCCAGCATCTGCATCTCTATGGAATCCAGAGAAGTAACCACCTGACACCTCCCCTGCTCCAGCAGCCTCACTCCGTGAGCGGTGGGCGTGGGTGTGCACTTCTCAACTCCTTCACCCTTTGCATGGAAAAACTCAGATGTGCAGGTTCTACACTGTCTCCCATAAAATGGTGACTGGCTTATTGATACACCCTTTCCTGGCTGCCTTCCTTTTTCTGTATCAATTCCCCAACATCCTAGCGGTGTTTCTCAGAACCCCTGACCCCAAATTATCTGTAACTGAATTCTTGTCTCAGGCTACAACTACAGAAGCCCAAACCAAGATACCCTGAGTTGTCTTCATCATCTCTAGGCCCAACTTATCCTTTTCCCAAGACCCCACCAGCTACAAATCATTGCTGGTGCCAAGGGACCATGAGAACTATTTGGACTGAAGGCAAATCTTCACTGGCTCACAGGTGATTTGGGGTGAGAGTTGTCTCTCCACTCCTGGAGGATTATCAGTCAAAGCTGCACAAGGAAGAAACCTCATAAAGGGTAACCATGGGAGAGCAATAGTAAAGTGTGGGTAAAAAGGGGGATGTTGGGTAGAGGAGCTGTCTCGAGAACCATAAAGAAGCGTTGGAAGCAGGGAGGAATCAGGAGTTAGAGAGGGCTGATGCAACCCTGCCTTGCTTCTGTTTGGCCCTGAAGGGACGCCCCAATTCTTCTGCCTTTAAACTCACTGCTGGCTGCTCTGCCCTTTACAGAACCTGCCTCATGTCTGCATCCTTCTCAACCAGCTTTTGATAAACTGGCTTTTGGTCTTTTCTCTCCTCTAGTTCTTGGTCTATTCCAACACCATTGGCCTTTAGCCTTGGATCCTCTTGTGATGCCTGTTCCCAAAGGGGATCCTCTCCCAGGGTTCACACCCTTATACCTGCTCCCATGCAGAGCCACCAGGCCATTTTGGATCTCTATGTCAGTGTGATGCTTCCTGTATTTGTGTAGCAATCAACTGCTTTTCTAAACTGCCAAGGAGCCTTTACCCCTTTGTAGTGAGAGCTGTATTCCATTTTGAATTCTTTGAAAGTTACAAGCTGTTTTAGAAAAACATGAACAAGAACTAGGAATCAGTCAGTTATCTCGCTGCCCCTCATTCTCAGTCCCCTGCCACTTTGATTATTTGTTTATTACCAGATCCTTCTTTCTGTTTAAACATCTTCCTCACTGTCTGGCAGGCAGAGCCGTCTCCAAGGCACACGCCACAGCGGTCCTCTGTGGCGTTGGAATCAATCTCATAGTCACAGCCGACCATCTGTGGAGAAGAGAGGTTGAGGGTAGAAGACAGAGGCAGGGGACGCCACACCCACTTGACCTGGGACTTCTCCTTTCCCCCTTTGTTCTTTGTAAGACTAGGCAGGCAGGTACAAAGGTACAAAGACAAATGTTTATTTCCTTTTCCTGGTGGCAGCCAGAGGAATAACCAAAGCATCCACCAATGGTAAAAGGACATACTTGCTTAGAGGGCAGAGAGGCACATACTGACTGAGGTCTCCAATTTCCCAAGTCAGAGGCAGAACTGAACACAGTTCCAAAAATCTAACCATAAAAACGTCTTGGAATTGGAGTTGTTGGAGCAGCAAGTCTTTTTCAGATGTGTTCCCCGCCTGAAAAAGGGGAGCGATGAAACTGGATGTTCTGTAGCATCCGGTAGCAAAGAATCACCACACTTAGGTTGAAAGTCACGAAACACACCTGAGCTTCAATTAAACTTCCCTGTTGCTTGCTTTCTTCTAGGGCTACAGGTAAAACTATACTATATTCCTTTAGTCATAAATTTCTTTCCTGTTTGGGAAGAAGAATTGGGCCCAGGTAGGTTTCTTTATTATCAAAGATCATTTTCTTTCTAATATTAATGCCACCTCAAATCTACTGAGAGGAAGAATGGTTTGGGTCTTTAAATATACCCACTACCAGCTTACCAGGGAATTACTGCCCACCAACAGAAAGAATGCATGCCTCAGGTTAGCCATCTCTAAACTCCTTTTGTTCCAAACACTGTGCTACTTGACCCAGCTGGGGAAAAAATGAAGTGCTAAGAAATTTTCAGAAAACCAAAACTTGATTACGCTAGTCACAATGAAAAGAAGAGGAATGTTCTGGAAGTTTGCCTTCAGTGGTTAGGAGTAAAAGGCCAACCCTTCACCAGTGATGTATTACATTGAGCCTGAGCATCCTCTAATAAGCTGACCTTTGCAGTCACATTTGCAGTGATCTTCACTCCTTCACTAATTTGGAATGAGCCAGGAAAATTGACTCTTTTTAAATCTCTACCAAGAGGGAAACAGGTAAAAAAAAATCTGAAGAATAAAGGAAAGAAAGCCAGAAAAACAAATAGCGTGAGACCAGGTCTTTCTTCCTGAGTGGATGATCATGTTTCTCCAGCAGTATTCGCCTTGACCACTGGGGGGACAAAGTTTGGGGGAAGGAGACACACCCATGTCCCCAATATGTTGTCCCACAGCTTAGTAGGTGGGTTCTTGTGGAGACCTCACCCAGTTTGCTTCTCCTGTCAGCTGCACACTTACAAGAAAACTGAATTAAGCATGTAACAGAAGGTCTGTGAAGGCATAGACTAGTCTTCCTTGTTGCATATAAAACATAAGGGGCTCTCAGGGGAAAATAAACAGACTTCAAGCTCCTCTCTCACACCACGTGCTCTGGTAATAGGGCACACAACCATATGGTCTTTCTGCCTTCCACGGAATCAGAGGTGGCTGTGCTGCTGCTACCAAATGTGAACAATGACTTCAGCATGGTTCTCTGAGGTGACACTGGGGATGCCAGACCGCCACCCCAATGCACAGCATTTTTGAAAAAAAAGATCACTTTTATTTCCCACATCATTAGTTCTTAATTTTGAAATAATATGCATTGAAGAGGATACTATCTTGAGTATTACTTAGGGAGATCAGGTCCCAACCTTTCACCAGGCATTTAGCCCTCCATGAGTGAATAAGTAACACATATTCTTACCAATTCTCTCTTTTTTTGTGTGCTAAGAGTTAACATTGTTTTACTTCGCAAACTCTCAAGTGACTGTGAACTGACATACACACTGGCATCATGACCTAATCCACTTGTAACGTCATAATTTCTTTCTAAAGTCCCTTGGCAAGGGTAGAGACTGGGAGAATGGCTGGTTCCAAGATGAGATCCATTACCAGCCAATGAGATTTCAAGTGTAACAATAGGGCACGGCTCTGCTTAGCTGAAAAGAACAGGTAAATGATTCTTCCATTTAACAAGTGGGATAGTAGCACAAGGCTTTCCTTGTCATAATTTTTCCAGTAAGTATTTGTTGTGGATTAAACTATATTCCCCAAAAGATATGTTCAATTTCTAACCTCTGATACCTGTGAATGTGACCTTATTTGGAGATGAGGTCTTTGCAGATACCATCAAATTAAGATGAGGTCATACTGGATTAGGGCAGCCCTAAATTCAATAACTGGTGTCCTGATAAGGAGAGAGAAATTCGGAGACAGAGACATACAGTGGGAAGATGGCCATGCAAAGACAGAGGCAGAAATTGGAAGTCAGAAATGTCAATAATTTTCTGCAACCACCAGAACCTAGGAAAAAGCAAGGAAGGATTCTTCCCTAAATAGCCACATGTAGCTGGTGGCTACCCTACTGGACAGCACAGGCCCACAGTATTTGCTAGCTAGTAGGAAGGGCATCATATTAATGAAGGATGTTTTCTTTTAATTTCTTTTTTTTAAAAAAATATTTGATGGGGAGATGGAAGACCCTGAGTAGTCTCTAAGTAGCCACAGTACTTAGCCCACCAGCCTCTTATAACCATCCCACCACCTCCAATGGCCCCCAAATTTACCTTCCACTCCTGTGGCAATTTCAGATCCTTCTGTGACTAGATCATTTTCTGTCACATTACACAACCTCCTTGTCCCCTTCATACCACCCAAATATCTCATATATACTTTTTAAGAGATGAATGATACTGTCCCTATGCATACAAAGTATTTAGATCTAAAAGATAATTTTAACATTACATTCATTTCTTGGTGACTAAAGTTCACAGCTCTTGCTGCATATGATAATGACCTGGGGAGATTTTAAAATATCATTGCTCAGACCCCAAATCCTATGGATCCTGAATTAATAGATTTGAGATAAAGCCCAGACATCGGTAATTTTTAAAAGCTCTCCAAGTGATTCTAATACATAGCCAGGATTGAGAACAACTGCGTTAGACAGGGGTGGAGCTGTTTTGGCCTGAATGATTTAAATAAATCTCTTCCCATTCTGGGAAACACATCTATCTAAAATATATTACTTATTTTTGGCTCTTTCTAGCTACAATGATAATTAGTTGGTTTCAAAGAGAATTTTGCCTGAGCTCTTTCAAACTTAGAGTCTGATTATAGCTTTTTGTTTAGCTCACTCATTCCTGGGAATCAACATCTTGCCCCTGAGTTTTGGTCACCACTCAAACAAAACAAAAAGCAACCTTCCCAGAGTGCTGAACATTTATGGGCAAGAGCATTTCTTGGCGGGGGATGGGGGGTGGGTGGGGAATTTTATCCAGTGGAAAAAAATGGTAAGTATTTGCAAAAACAAATAAAATTTATTAAGAGTTTATTGTGTACCAGGGCTTCTGTTAAGGGCTTAACATACATGACCTTGTTTAATCTTTTTGACACTCCCAACTAGGTAGAAACATTAATATCCCAATTTTATGACCAAAAACTGAGTCTTAGAAATATGTACAGGATACACTGCTAGTAAACGATGGTGTTTAGTTCATATTCTAGAGCCCCAGCACCAAACCATTATGCTTACTAATAGTTAATTAGGTATTCCTATACAGTTTTCATTTAATTAATTAAAAACACCTCATTAAACTGAGATTTATGCTTAGGTGTTGGATCACAAGACTTGTTCAGCGGTTCCTTGTAAAACAGACTGCAAGCAATGAGAAGCAATTCTTCAATGGTTGTACACGTAAAGCATTAACAAAAAAGGTCTAAGTAATTCACATACAGGTGGAGTTGATTAAAAGAGTGAGTGTGAAAAAATTACACAGAAATCAGAAGCCTGGTTTATAACCACCTATCATGCTGTCTTTCTTTCTGAGAAGATCATGTTGCTAATCAATAGAGAATTAAATGTAAAAATGCTTTGTGAAAAGTACTATACAAACTATTACTGATTTCAGTTTTTCTCAAATTTAATGCCACTAAAATAAGCTGGGCTGCCTTTTCTTAATAATTCCTCTGTTAATTTGGTTCCCCTTCAATATGACCCTGAAAAATGCCTAAAATAATAGCGTAGTTTACATCAACAAATTAAGAAATGAAAGTGACAGCAGGAGGAAAAAACTATTCAGTTCAAAACTATGATTTTGACGAACACTGAGAAGTCTTGTCTTCTTGTCTCACAGACCATATATAAAAACCAAGCCACAGGTAAATGCCAAGAAAGCACACGCTTAGATATCTGATTCTTAAATTAATAAAAATCACAATTTTATAAAGTTGTAGATTAAGGAAACATACCCAATACCTTACATATGCCATTAATACAGACATTTCTGCTGTTTCCTCCTTCGAAGCAAGGGGTACCATCAATGACAGCATCCAGCATTTTCTCAGAAAACTGGCCGTCTATGGGTCGGCAGTACAGCTCACAAGGATGTGCTGAAGTGAGAAAAAGACAGGTCCTTGGAAATTAGCTTTTTAGCTCAGCACCCTTCCCCCAGACTTCCTTTGTACTCATGACCCCCGAGTGTCGTTTAATCTGGTGATTCCATCTATTACCTTTCTGAGACACATGCTGTAATGTAGGCTTTTTACTTTTTTCAGTTAAATAGTTTTATAATGAATTACATTTGGAAGATAAAAGTCCTATGCCCTGTGTTATAAACAATGAGACCTTTCAATGCAACATTAAACTGTGCTTGTAAAAATAAGGCACTGAATATCTAAAGTTAACCTGGAAGATAAGTCATAGCAACCAGTGCTGCAGGATTCCAGGTGACCCTGATGTCTGCCCATTGTTTACAGCAAAGTAAGTAGAGCTCCAGGGATAGGCGGTCCTCTCTCATATGGCCAGATCATACTAACACCACCGTCACCATCACCACCATCATTACCCCATCCCCAACAAATGTTTTCCCTTATTCTCCTCAAGTCCGAGGAGTGCTTGGACACAGACTGACAACCATGCAGAAACAAAGCACCTACTTTTTTTGCGAAAGCTGAAGCCAACCTGTTTATCATAGTGGTCCATCCCATCACCCTGGGTCTTTCATTGAATCCACACTAAGGTTCAGTTTTCTACTGCCTTGTGAATGTAGATAGGGGATTCTACAGCACAGGAACTTTTACTTTATGAAGTATGTAGCCATACATGTGTGCACAGAATAACCAGAAAGATGAATAACTTTTTTTTTTTAAGGGTTGGAGAAGGAAGACCATACTGGTGTGCTGGACTTTTTTTTTTAATTGATGTACCACAGTTTATTTAACTAGTCTCCTATTGATAGACACTGAATTTTTCCTGCTTTTGCTATTACAAACAATGAGAAAATGTACATACATAAATCCATACAGTACAGATATATCTTTAGATGAATAACTTTTAAAATGTAAATTGTGTTAAAATTTTTAATAGGTAATACATGTACATGATAAGAAGAATTCAAATAGGAATTTTCTTTTGAATGTTATGTGTTGTTTTCTTCACGTGAGAAACTCGAGAATGTCTTCTTCGGAGAGGCCCTTTCGGGGTCTCTTCTGGATCTGGTTATTGTGCACAGGGTTGTTAGTCTCTTGGTGCTTTCACTAGCTGAGGGCTCAATGATACCAGCTATTGGGCCATTTGTCATGGGTAACAATTGCAAATCCAGAGTGCACAGTGACAGCTGTGTCTGCTTGAAGATGCAACGCTCCACATGGTAAGGAAATAAAAGTGTAAAACTCACACAAATGTAACTAAGAGCAAAAGCTCCAAATTCTGAAACTCTAGATAAACTTGAGATAGATGTCAAAAATATCTGTTTGAAGCTTAAAGAGGAAAGGTAAAAGCAAAGAATACCAGCTGATTTCATACAAGGTGCACTGGATAAGTTGTCTGAGAAGACAGACAAAGTCAAAATAAGCCAAAGAGATACTGGAAAAAGTGCCCATGGAAAAGGCCAGAAGACTCTGGGGACAGGCACTGCATAGGGTTGTTGCGAATCCCCATTCCTGGCAGCACGTTTAGCTCTGTCACTACCCAAACTGGGAATAGAAGTTCCTAGAGGGAGCCACTTGGGAGCAATTCTGCTCTCCCAGGGATGAGACCATCTATCCAGGTGCCGAATCCAGGGAATCATTTCATTATGACTTTGATTTGAATTATAAAATCTGGATTCGGGATTTT